CTCAGCCTCGCCTCATACCCCATCCCCTGCAAACCGGCCACCAACCTTGTGGCCCTACGCTGCACTGACTCTAACCTGGCTATATCCTTTCTGTTATGAGGGGCCCAAAACTGAGCACATTACTCCAGTTGCGGGCACACCAGAGTTGTATAGAGTGGTAGGAATACCTCTCTCAGCCTGGAAGCCATGCTTCTGGCTATGCAACCAAGGGTGGCATTCGCCCTCTTGACTGCTGACTCATGTTTAGCCTGCAGTCAACCAGCACCCCGAGGTCCCTTTCACAAGTGCTGCTCTCCAGCCACTTGTCCCCTAACCTGTACTTATGACACCCATTCCTATGCCCCAAGTGCAAGACCTTGCATTTATCCACGTTGAACACCATCCTGTTGTCTCCTACCCACTTCCATAGACTGTCCAGTACCTGCTCCTCAGTTGTGGCCACTGCTCCAGTTTTAGTATCATCTGCGAATTTGATCAGCAGACTGTTCACCCCTTCTTCCATGTCATTTATGAAAAGATTAAACAGGATTGGCCCCAGGACAAAGCCCTGGGGGACCCCACTTGTCACTGCCTGTCATCCCGATGATTCCCCACTAATGGTTACCCTCTGCTCTTGGTCAGTCAACCGTGCCCTAATCCATCAGACAGTGCTTTGGTGTATCCCAAAACTCCTCAGTTTCTCAACCAGGATATCAGGGGGCACTTTGTCAAAGGCCTTGCTGAAATCCAGGTATACCACATCCACTGCATCCCCTCCATCTAGCCATCTGGAAACCTTGTCATAGAATTCTAAAAGGTTTGTCTGGCAGGACCTGTTTTTGCGGAAGCTGTGTTGTGTGGCTGTTAGCCTCCCTTCCCTATCTAGCATCACTAGATCTCTCTCTATTATGAGCCCTTCCATTATTTTTCCTACAATGGACGTAAGGCTAACTGGTCTGTAATTCCCCATGTCCCTTCTACTACCCTTTTTGAAAATTGGGACCACTGATGCCACCCTCCAGTCCTCTGGAACTTCACCCGTTCTCCATGAGGCCTCAAAACTGGAGGCCAGCGGGCGTGAGAGAACCCCTACCACCTAAGTACTCTCAGGTGTAACCCGTCAAGGCCTGGTGCCTTTGTAATGTCCAATGCCCTGAGGAGCCATTCGACTTCAAGGGGGATGACTCTAATCTGTGCCCCTAAATCCCCAGCCTCATCTAATCTCCAATGCAGATCTCATCTAATCTCCAATGCTTTGGGGAGAACACAGAGGCAAAATAGTCAAATAGTTACCTATGGATTGATTTTTTTTTCTAAATGAGGTTTTTAAAAAAAAAAAAAAAAACCTTGGGGGTTTTGTAAAGATCAATGGTTTGTTCCTCCAACTGTAGATAAATACAAGCAGGATTATACCCTATACTTACAGGCAGAAGCATTAAGTGCACAAATACTGACACTTTCAATGCAGATTTTACTCATAATGTTCTATTCATAGTAATTATTTTATATACTCCATTGTTAGGACCACTCTTCCACTTACTTCATTCACTAATGTCTCATTAACTTCCCTGAAAGCATCTGGAAAACCATAATCATGCTCTGTGCTCTCGCTTTTCCTAATGAAATAATACAAGTGGACGTGGTTAAGAACTCATGTTTGTCAACTACATGCTCAAGTGGAGCCTAAGTTATTTGAATCCCCCCACAACTGAGCCAATCACATTTCAACTTACAAAGGTTTCCTAGGTAACTTTACACAACCAAAGGGATTTGCCAGTGTAGAAAAAAAAATGAACTGTGACTTTTTACAATGCTTTAAAACTGTTAAACATTACTGGTGATTGGAAAAATGGGGCAATGGTAAAGAATAGATTTGTGCTGTCCTTCTACCTAGTTCATTCAACAGAAAGCTTGGCTCAGTGACTGCTACAGGTACACTAACAGTGCAATCCTATGCATGACTATTCATAAGTCAGTCCCATTGAGTTCAGTGGGAGTTACTCAAGTAAAGATGTAAAGGATTGTAGGCTAAACCTTTCAAGCCCCCTGCTCCCAGTGGCTAGAAAGATAATAACCTGAGTCCCTTTGATTCTATGCATATTTATATACCACTGCAGACAAGGCAACAAAAGATCATAAGCCTGGACGTGCCTGATGCTTTTCTTAAGAGACTATCCTCTAGAAAGCAACTTGCCTTCTACCAAACCAGCAGTCACTGGAACAGCAGATTTCTCCATCCCTCATGTACCAGCCAGCAACATTTCCAGGCTGGCCACACAGACACAAATAATCCCACTATACCAGGACAGCAAGTGCTTGCTTCACATCATAAGACGTTGACTACTGAGCATTTCAATTAATTGTGTGTCCCCTACTGTTCCAATAGCTGTTTCTGTGAGCGTCCAGTATACTTTTGGAATAGCACTCTCCAGATGGTGTTTTGCTGTAACAAGCCACACACTATTATACAATCTGAAAAGTTTACTGCAAAGTCAGGCAGGGAGACAGACAGCAAAGAAGCAGTATTCCAGATAGTCAGAGACGTTAGCTTGTTTAGAAATGCACCCCCCAGTAAGATGTATTTTATTTATTTAGCACTTTTGTATACCATCTTGTAGCTAAATGGCTCTCTAGACGGTTTACATAATAAAAAACCAACAACATAAAACATCGTAAATGACACAATTGAACACAATTAAAACCACAATATCAATAATAAATAACATAACATCATAGCAGGAACAACAAGTAATAGTTTAACAACAGATTGGAATTATCTTAAATGTCATAATTAAGAATACTAAAATTTACATTAAAATATGATTAAAATCAAATTCCAACTAAAATAATCAACAATTAAAATACTCCTTAAATAAAAACGACTTAGTCTGGTGCCAGAATATGTATAAGGATGGCACTTGATGAATATCTCACTTCCAAAGATGGGGCACCAGAACTGAGAAAGCCCTGCCTCAGGCACCCATCCTTCAGCTAGGCTTATATGGATGGGGATGTTCTTTCAGATATTCAGGTCCTAAACCATTTAGGGCTTTGTACATCAAAATGTGCACCCTGACTTCATTGAGCATCCAGTGTAATTCAAAAAGAACAGGTGTTATATGTTTGGTATTACCAGTCTCCATCAACAGCCTAGCTGCTCTATTTTGAACCAGCAGTAATTTCCAGACCATTTTGAAGGGCAGCCCAACATAAAGCGCATTACAGTAGTCCAACCGAGAGGTTATCAGAGCATGGATTACTGTTGCTAGGTCCTGTCTGTCTATATATGGTCAAACTTGATGAATTAACCGGAGCTGATAGAAGGCACTCCTGGCCACCAAGTCAACCTGGTGCTCTAAGGACAGCTCAGGGTCCAGAAGCATCCCCAAGCTCTGGACCCTGTCAGGTAGAGGGAGTGCAACCCTACCCAAAACAACCTCCATCTAGACATGGGAGCAACCTACCAACAAAGCCTCTGTCTTGTCTGGATTAAGTTTCAATTTGTTGGCCCTCATCCAGTCCAGCACCCCAGCCAGACCCTGGTTTTGGACTGTCACCACCTCACCTGGGTTCAATGGAAATGAGAGATAGAGCTGACTATCATCCACATACTGATGACATTTCAGCCCAAGTCCTGATAACCTCTCTCAGCAGTTTATCCCCCCATGATAAAAAGAACTGGGGATAAGATGGAGCCCTGTGCTACTCCATGACATACAGTGGTACCTCGGCTCACAAACACCTCAGTTCACGACCAAATCAGGTCGCAAACAAAAATTTCATAAAATTTTTGACTCAGGTCATGAACTCTGCATTGGGTAGCGACCGCTATCATGACCATATCCCCCCTCCCCGAGTGGGGAGATGGCCATGATCATGCTGGCGGGGGGGGAGATGGCAAAGATTGCGCCCATCTTTCCTGCATGAGCATGCCCATGATTGTGCTCGTCTTTCCTGCACGAGCGCAACCGCAACTGCAATCTCGGCCATCTCCATTCCTGCAGCACAATTGCGCCTGTCTCCCCCCTTGAGTGCACCCGCGTTCGTGCCCATCTGTCCCCCTCAGCGTGCTGGGATGATGGGTGTGTGCAGGGATGACGGGCACGATCACAGTCATGATGGAGGTGGGGAAGAGATGGCCATGTTCTTTGCTGTTCTTTGTCACTTTGTTTCACATTTTTCTGATTAAAAAAAATAGTTACAGAATGGATTAATCTTATTTACATTGAACCTTATGGGGAAATTTAACTTGGCTCACGACCAATCTGGGTCACAACTAGAGTGCTGGAACAGATTACGTTCATGAGCCAAGGTACCACTGTACTTGCCATGGTGCAGAGCTGCATTCCCCCAGCAACATCATCTGGAATTGGTCAGCCAGGTAAGAGCAGAACCACTGCAGAGCAGTGCCCCCAACTCCCAACCCAGCCAGCCTATCCAGAAGGATACCATGGTTGATGGTATCAAATGTGGCTGAAAGGTCTAGAGAACCAACAGGGATGCACTCCCTCTATCTTTCTCCCGGCAAAGGTCATCCCACAGGGCAACCAAGACAGCTTCCGTTCCATAACAAGGCCAAAAGCCAGAATGAAATGTGTCCAGATACTCGGTTTCTTCCCAGAGCACCTGGAGTTGTCTAGTCACCATATCTGCACAGCAGCTTAATGCTGTGGCTACAGCATTTTTCAGGATTCACCTCTACCAATCTGAACTTGGACAGGATGTGCAGCTGTACCCTTAGGCCCTGAAGGGGACCTATTCACTCAGTTACCTTTATTTTGTGGGTCAAAAATACACCTGATAGCCCTCTGGACCCTTCCAACTCTACTACAGTATTCTATGAAATCATCCTTCAAGTACACTTTCTTACGCTATCCTAATGTTCAGTCTTCTTGTTTAAAAGGTCAAGATTTCTCTCTCTCAAGAGGAAAAGAAACTTTTGAGAATTTCTTTGAAACAGCCATACTATGAAGACAGCATGCCTGCAACTCAAACTGCATAATAAAATTTAAACATCTTACCTAGATGTAATATCATACTTGTATCACTTAATGCCCGGGTCACTAAACTGAAGTGTCGGTAGAGTGGATAGCATAGAACTCTTCTTCCAAAGGATACCAGGACTTCAGAAATGCTAGTAAAACTCTGTGTAGAACATTGTTTAAAAAGTCAGATTATAAAAGACAACAAAGCATGCGTATTTCAACAGTAGATTAGAAAGAGTAAGGCTAAAGAAATACCTGTAAAAATCCAAATCTGTTCTCACATTGGAGTGAAATATAGTAAACCGTGTTATCAGGTCAATAGATTTAACATATACTTCATGACAAATACTGTTGTATCTTACCTCCAGCCAGCACAAAGATGAACTCAGTTTTCGGATATTCCATGCTGACTCAACCTTGTTTATTAAAAAGAAGGGAGTAGCTTGATTAGAACATAACATTGTGTTTATTAAAAACAGAGTTTATTTTCATGGAAGTAAATAGAAACTGGAAGATATGCTTCAAGTTTTAGTGAATCAAAATAGTATAATAGGCTGAAATTAACTGGAATTTATACTGACTACTTTGACTAGTCATTTCATTTGCTCTCTGTCGAACTGGGCAAGACCCCAAAAAGATACTGTTAGTCTGGTAAATAATGTCAAGGCTAGAAAGATCCCAGTTGTCTTTAGCATTGGCTGGCACCAAACAATTTCAATTACTTCCCCCTCTAACTTTAGAGTAAGTGTCTCATTTTTTTAAAAGTTTGAAATATTCACCCGTTTGTCTCCATTTATAAACTTTTTATTTTCAGGGGTGTGTGCGCAGAGGGGGGAACCAAACACAATATACTATACACTGAAGAAAAACTGATTGAAGGTAATTCTTTTGAAAAGACTAAAATTTACAGTGCACAGAAGGTGAGATAGAAACCAACTTGTTCTATAAGAAGTCCAATTTGATAAAAATAACTCAAAGCTAGGGTGTTAAATAGCAAGAACAAAAGAAATGCAGATACATTACGCCCAATTTATCATGTAACAACATGATTATAGTACTCTGATCTCAGGAAATCCTTGTAATAAGTTTGTCCTACTTCCTGAACCTATGTTACTTACCATTTCTGGCTCTTTATTTTTGCTTACTCCCAAACAGCCTTCCTGAACCCCATATCCTCTAGATGAGTTTCCCAGGGAGTGGCCATGCAAATACAGAATTGTAAGAAGTGCAGTCCAACATATCCAGAGAGCACCAGGTTGGGGAAGACCATCATAAACATTTCCTGTAAGCTTACTCTCTGCCTTGAGTTCCCATTCCTAGCCTTACCAATTTCCTTGCATCCGCATTCCCAGACCCAATTCCATAATACTTCTAGTATAGCCCTGGTGCTACCTAAAATCTTCGTCAATCTCCCTTAGTCCCCAAGGATGTTATGTCAGGTGGTGCATAAAAGCATCCCACAAGCACTAATTTAAGATGTCCAGGCTATTCTTAACAAAACTCAGAACAATTAGTGTAAGACAAACTGCAGAAGATTTCATGAAACATAACATGAAAAAGTAAGCAAATAGAAAGGATTGTATTTCTCAAAATATAAGCTTTACTTCTGTCAAAAAGGATAATAATTTATGCACAGCAAATGTATACATATAAAATGGATGTTTTCCACGACACTTCAAGAGTACAAAAAACCTAATAAACCAGATAATCAGCATCTTAGCTATTACCTGTAAAACCATTTCAGCTTCTTTTGGACTTCACTGCCATACACATCTCAGCATAGCTGCTAAACAGGCATTCAAACAACAACTGCCCCACCCCTCTCCACTCACAGATGACTGTTGATTTCAAAGTAACTTAGTGAAAGAGTTTTTACATAATGTGCTTTAAATCCAGAAACAAAGCCTACCTCAAAAGCCATGTCCCACAGATGACAGAGTAATTCCTTTTAGCCTTACTACTGCTATTCTAAACTAAAATTAATACAGGAAAGTATGGAGTGGGGTGGGGAGAACTCACGTTTTTTTCTCCTTCGGTGGCATAAACTTCATAGCAATATGCCAGAAGTATATCAACTAGGCTCAGATATACTTGATGACAGGTTCTTTTATCAAGCAGGAAAGTTTTGTTAGTGAATTTTCTTAGCTGTTCTTTCTCATCTTCTGTAAAGGAAACTAAACACAATAAAGGTTCTTTTAATACACCATACCCATAACCACATGAAATACTGCATACCTTGAACAACAAGGGTGGCTTTTGTCAGGTCTTAGAAACCCTCCTGAGTTAAATTAGTTCCTGCAGCGCCTCCTTGCTTGTTTCCATTGAGAAGAGCACTTTCTTTGCAACTTACTATGAACTTGCCCCCAAAACTGAGAGAAAAACCGGAGCTATAACAATGTTACCATAGGGAACAAGGCATTCATTTCTGTTCAGGAGCGAGGAAAGTGTTAAACTTAGGTCATTGTTTGCCTCAGACCAAATGAAGTAGAAGTGCATCATATGATGTGTATCAGAGTACACTAGAGATAAACCAGTGAGATTTGCAGGCAATTCTGTAAGGCAAGAGCTTTGATGGATTATTAATACAACTGTTGCAGTTTTGAAGACATCCCTCCAAGACTTATCCCACCCTCAGCAACAAAGATATTTGCAGTTGCCAATTATTTTGAAATATAGATTGAATAAAGATCTTCCTTTAAAGTAGTTAATGTAAGTGCAAGATTATTTCTTTGAATGTTAATGGTTTAAATAGTTGTCTGAAACATAAAAAAATAATCCACTGATTAGAAAAAAGACTAAACTGAAAGTCTTCCCCCTTTTTTACATACACATAAACAGCATATCAATTATTTTAAGAAAACAAAAACTGAAAAAGCATGTACAGCTTGTGCATTAATTAAATTGCAGGTCAACTTTGATTTGTTGCGATAAAAGGAGGTGTTTAATAAAAACTATGGCTTCCATTACAGTCTAGAAGCAGAAAACATTTCTTGGGGATGCATACATGTACTGAAGCATGAATCTGGAAAGCCTTTTACAAATGTATTTAATATACAGGATCTACTGAATGGGACATTTTAGAACTGTTGCTTTGCTTTAATACTTAACAAGTTTATTCACTGTAAAAATGCTGTGAAGAGGTTTCCCTGAAGTTAGGAGGCAGTAGGGTTTAGGGTTAGATTTGTGGGCATTTACCTTCACATTAGCATTATGAGCAACTCCAGAATCACATGGCCATACTTCCACTTGTGCAACAAGACTTTCTCCTCCTCTTCCTCCCTTTCCTGTTGCCCCCTTCCCATTCCATTCCAGGAAGAGCTCCAAAGAGTTCCTGAAACCCTCCACAGCAGAGTTTAAGGGTGTATGGAGTGACTGCAGAAGGGAAGAGGAACCTACTCCTTCCCCTTTCCACTGATGGAAGTTGCTCCATCAGCAGGATGGGCTAAATGAATTGCAGGTTTGTATGTTTATCTGCTCCACATCAGTTTAATCTTACAACTAAATTCTTTCAAAGAGTAATAATGCTGAGCGAATACCTTGGGGCCCACCAGACCATTTCCAATGAAATGTAAATAGTACATTACTATTTGGAAGAAGCAGTACAGACTTCATCCCAAGGGAAATGAAATCTACTTTTATCACAGAAGTCAAACAGGAAGTGAGAAAGAAATTAAGAGGGTTTTAAAAAAAACTCTGAATGAGGCAATTTGGTGAACTCCAGAAGTATTAGAACACAACTCCCATCGGCTCTAGTCAACTAAGATTACAGAAGTTGTAGTCTAAAGCATCTGGGTGATTGACTGCAGGCTATCTAAAGCTTCTTGGAATAAACTGACATGTATGTATGTATGTATGTATTTATATTTTATGCTTTTCCTGCAAGGAACTCAATGTAGTTACATAGTTATCCTCTCCATTTTATCCTCACTACAACCCTATGGGGTAGGTTAGGCTGAGAGTCAGTGTCCGGCCCAGGGTCACTCACTGAGTTTCATGGCCAAACAAGGACTGGAAGCTGGATCTCCCTAGTTCCAATCCAACACTTTAACCACCATGCCACAATTCTTGTGCATGTAAGTCCATAACAATCTATATGCATCTAGATTACCTCACAGCTAAAGGGACTGCCCAACAATGTCAATTCAGACACTGAAGGGCAGAACTCCACCTGTGTAATGGAGCTTTCCTGGTTCCCCACCCTCCACTGAAATCCTCTGGTGGGCCCTCCTGAGAGCCAAAGAACCCACTGAAATGCTATATGATGGGGCATGAATAGGCCAAAACAGGTGAGAAAACTGGAGGGATTTGGCAAGGCTGCCTTGCATATGCAGAAGTGCCTTTCTCTTCATAGGAGACATTCTAGTTTCCAAGCTAGTCTTATTCTTTAAAGCACACCCACCCATCCACACACACACAAATTAGAAATTTTACAAAAATGAACACAGCATTGTTAGAAATTATCACAGCATAACGAAATTATCCAAGGCTGGGAAACCTTTTTCAGATTCCTGATGGGAAAACTTCCAGGGGCAATATGCCAGCAGCAGGCAGGACCAAAGCCACATACACATCCCCTCTCTCTCACTTGTATGTACACACACACACACACACACCCCATCCATATTCACTTCCATGCAGACATATTGATACACAGAAACCTATGCACACAAAAGGAAGAGAAATAAGTCTTAAAGGGGAAAGAATTGAAAAGAAAGGGAGAGGAAAGAGAGGGACAAAAAAGTCAACATACAGAGGTTCTTCAGCTCCTTCATATCTCCATGTGCTAGGAGTCCTCAAATATACAGTTTCAATGGCGAAGACAGTAACAGCAAGGCCAAAGGAATTGAAGGAGCTAACAAAGTGAGCCTTGGATTAGTCACAGGGCAAAGAAGCAGGGAAAGGTGGAACAGCTTACTAGGTTGTTACGGAACATGCATATAATGCTCTGAGATTATAGCAATTGTAAACAAGTTATATTAAGGACATAATTTAGAACAGTTATTTTAGAATTCAATGGACACTGTGAAAAAAATAAATATGAACATTCCTACTAAGTTCTGTCACAAATGCATCATGTAATGATTGATCGAGATCTACTGAAATATGATTTTAAATTGCACTGGGAAAAGACAAAGGTGCAACAATGAGCAAAAGCAGAAATTCCTTTCCCCAGGTTACCGAATTGCTTTAGTGTACAATCCTATGCATGATCAGGCATAAAGAAATCATACAGCTCCCAGCACTGGAGGACTGGAACTGGAGGACTTTTTTTGGTTTTTTTTGGTGCACCCTTAATGACCTATGTATTTAGGCATTTACTTATTCTATGAATTCCAGTTTCTCTAACAAAGGCATTCAGACTGGCTAACAAAGTCCAGCTGGACTAAGAAGTTTACTCTGATCCAGCATCACTCCTATGTTCTTAACAGCAAACTGGACATTTAACCCACTCTCACACTCATGACCTACAATGCATCCTTGCGCCCTAAGGACTGGAGCTATACAGCCAGCTCCGGCTAAAGCCACTGAGTAGTTGTCCCCTTTTAACTTTATTCAACTGAGTCAATATTCTGTGGCTACTGAGCATGGTCAGGCCTCATGGGCTGTTCTTTAGATGTTCTCCCCCTTAGTGTTTCTGCTGTTTTGCTTTGGTTTTACTTCTGAGAACCTCAGGGTTTTCCATGCATAGCTGATAACTCTCTCTCTCGTTTTTCAGAGAACCCACTGTGGCTTCAGTCTTTTGGCACACAGCATCTAACTTTTCTTACTGAAGAACACTATATATGCTCACCTATCTTTCCTCAGGATAAGCAATTATATTGAACCAATGCAGAATGGGAGGAATGGCAGCAGCTAATCCTTTGTTCTGCCACTTTTTATACTGAAGAAAGTTAGTTATATGAATACATCTGGCAGAGAGAACAAGCTGCTCTCTTTGCTTTAGGAGAAGCAAGTACCAGTAATTTTTATAATGTAAAGATGGGACAGTCAGGTACTTATATGCCTATATGGTCCTCCAATCTTTATCTTCTAGATCACCTCTGCTGCAATGTGCAGGATGGTCACATGTACAACCTGGTGTGGACTGCAACATTATGGTGGTCATAACTCTGAGAACTTTGTGAAATTCCTTTGCCTATCACTGCTGTAAAATATATTATAATGTCTGGAATGTGAGACACTAACCATTTCATTGCATTCAAAGACCTAATATATAAAAGTGAGACTTGTGAATATTTTATTGGGGCACTTAGAAACCTAAGGAAAGACTAGGCCTTTTAAAAAATTAAGTATCATTTTTCTTCTCCTATTAAAGGAAATTGGAGACTGATCGCTAGTAAGCAAGATAGATTACCAGAGACAAAATAAATTACCTCAGAGCATGTCAATGATATATTAAACACATGCAGCTGCCTAAGCTTTGAAGAGTGCTTGTTGCCTAAAACAGAACTTCAGAATCCTACATTGTGAAACCAAATAAAAATGAACTGTGACTTTAAAAAAACCCTTGAACCCTTTTCATTTAGAGTTTGTAGAAGCAAGGGTACAGTGTAGGTCTGAGCTGCAGCACAGAGCTCCTTTGCTAAGTCCACCACTCCCCATCACCATGGGAAAGGCTGCAGAATTAGTTAGGCTTAGGAAAAGAATTTGTTTAATTCACGTTGCACAATGGAACTGTAAAGGGAAAATCAATGCTGGGTCAAGCCAAAGGAATGAAGTATCCCTCTACTGGAGGGATACTTGGTGACAAAGACAACAGTGTTGCTTCTGGTACTGAATTTTTGCGGCTGCCTGCTGGAATATCTCTCTGCTTTCTGGGAGAAATACCTTTCCAGTACTTTCCCATCTTTTCAGTGGGAAGTGTGGAGCAGAGAGCAACCGAGATGTGGGAAGGGGTAAAAGGTTTCAAAGCAAATAGATGTGTAATGCAAAGGTAAAACAGCAAAGAATGGAAGCATGAATATGTTCTGTCCAAAGGCTTTGAAACAGCTTGTAAGCATTAGTTTGGAACTGTTGGTACAGTCTGAGGAATCTAACAAGGTGCTTGGACAGGACTGTGCAATCACATCCATACAGGATCCTCACCCCTCTTGGGTTAGAAAAACTGGAAGGGAAAAAATAGCCAGCTGGGCCTGGGACATGATCAGCGTTTCCAAAGACACATGCAGAGGGA